TTTTAATAATTGCACGTTTATGTATCGTTTAATGAATAACATTGGGTTTACATTTTGATAAACATAACATAACTAGAAAGCAGAAGTAAAATCACAAAGAATAGAGTACCTAACAGAGTATTATATAAATATTAACATTTCGGAACAAAAGAACTAGAACAATTCTCAATTAATTAAACCAAACTGAACGCTTTTGTTTGAACTAAAACTGCATTAAAATGCAAAACAAACAATCCTTAATGTAAAACAGCCATTTGATTAGCTAGAATTCAATAAAGAAATGTTTTATTTTACTAATTAGCAACACTTTAATAGAATATAGAAATAATAAGATATATTTTGGAATGAAATTCCATTTGTACTTTTGAGAAATTTGTTTAAAGAAACATCCATGATAGTTGAACTTGATGAGGATAAGTGCTGTACAAAATAAAATAAATTAGTGCATATATTTTCATTTTGACTTGTACACCTTTCCAAAGCACAGTTTCACAGGTAACATTCCTCATTTAAATATCAAATTAAGTTTCAGGTTATTTCAGGTACTTTAACTTTAAAACTGGGGGATCTTTGTATTTTACATTTATAAGGTTAAATGTTAATTTGTCAGGAATTCCCGATGTTGTGCCAGTGTGTATTTGAGAGTTTCTTAGTTTAAAGTTTTTGTGGTTTCTATCCTATCTGCACACCTTATAATTACTATCGTTATCATCTGAAATTTCCAATTATGAACTTTACCAACTTAATAAAGATTCCAATTATTGCAACCATAACTTTAAGGAACTTTTCCCCACAATTGAACTTGCAGCTAGCTGCACTCAGTCTTCCACTTTTAACAGAGTTGCCAGATTGACTTGATGATAGGATTTGATGTACTATGCTCCACACCTCAAAGTCCCACCATGTGACCACGTACGGAACGCAGTCTTTTGAAAATTTGGCATTTTTGGGTTATGTATCTGTCAAAGTATAGTCAACGAAAGAAATAATATTATGTTTAGGCGTTAAAAATGTATAAATCTTTATAACATTACAATAACAATGGATGGTTTAAGAATTTAAGAATATAAATACTGCATTTAATGAAATTCTAAAGTGTATGGTGCCAAATAAGTAATATTTTTGTGCATTTGGTCCAAATATCTGGTTTTCTCCATAAAATAATTTTAACTAAACAGCATTTATTTAAAAAAGTCTAGCTTCTCTATTATGGAATAAGAATATCTGCAGATATTTTTGTTATAATATATTAACCTACCTTTAATACATGTATTAAAGGTAGGTTAATATATTATAACAAAAATATCATCTAATTTTTTAATTTTAAGGTTAGAAAAATTTATTTTGACCAAAATAAATAAGTATTTTGTATTATTTAAAAGACTGTATAATATGGTATTTAAAAATGTGGTAGTTTTTCTTATCCAGCTTAAAGTGTACCTACATACAGTTTTGTCAATACAAATAGTTAAAAAGCTTCGACTGAACTTGATCTACATCCAAAAATCATTATAACTTTAAAAATTTTAATAAATCACATGTCATGGGAGTATTAAATATTTTCACATTGCAAGTTTCTTTAAAAATTGTTTGTTTTCTTATAATCTAACTTAAAGTAGGTATGCCGAGAGGTATGCACAAGTTTTGTCATTAGAAGTATAAAAGCTTCAATTTAATTTGAACCATATTCAACAATTATTTAGTATACCTATATTTATTTATGACCATATTAACACACTCTTCCAAATAATCCACTTATTTATTTTGGTCAAAATAGATTTTTCTAACCTTAAAATACAAAATTATATGATATTTTTTGTTCCAATACATTAACCTACCTTTGATACAGATATTCTTATTTCATAATAGAGAAGTTAGATTTTTTTAATAAATGCTGTTTAGTTAAAACTATTTTATGAAGAAATGTAGACCCAATGCACAAAAATATCACTTATATTGCACCTTACACTTTGGAATTTCATTAAATGCAGTATTTATATTCATAAATTCTTAAACCAACCTTTGTTATTGTGATACTATAAAGATTTATTAACTTTTAACGCTTAAACATAAGCGGTAACACTATAAATATTATTTCTTTCATTGGCTATACTTTGACAGATACATAACCTGAAAAGCCTTAAATGCCAAATTTTCAAAAGACTGCGTTCCGTACGTGGTCACGTGGTGGGACTTTGAGGTGTGGAGCATAGTACATCATATCCGTGAAATCGCTGCTAAAAGTAGAAGACTTAAGAACTAAAAATAAATTTCACAATCTGGCAACACTGTGTCAATGACTGCACAGTCTTAGCCTTCTTGATTTTATTTTGATGCACCAATTTTATTTGGTAAATTAACCTCGAATAAAGCACTTTATCAAACAAAAGAAGAAGCTGTGCAAAGCATTTGCACCATGGGCCAAAAAAACTAAACTTTGTGTTAGGTACTAAGAGAGATACAATTCTGAGGACGTTAATGTTCAATATGGCGCACTGTGCGAGTTGAAGTAGGCTATGGAGGGTATTTGAAGTGTATTAGACTGTTTAATTGATGGGGGGAATTAAAATATTACGAGGTCGGTTTGTTCAAATTGGAAATTCGGTTTATTGAGAAAAAGTTTTGTTACTTCAAGGAGTATTTTCCAGACAACTAATTTAAAAAAAAATCCCCGAAATATCGTTATAAATTCGAATTTAATTTTACGTCAAAACTTTATAATGCAAACTCGAACTTCCAACCCAATTTAATTGATAAATGCTTCGTTAATATGTTTTTATCAAAGTTCAGGCCAGTAGAGTGTAATTTTATTACAGTTTACGATAGTTTTATAGTTGGAAAAACAGTTGACGAGCGTTTAACGCGACCTTATTTGCCTAACTAATAGTTTTAGCACAACTTTGGTAATTTGAACATCCGAAAATTATTCGTGCTATAGCACTTTTTAAAGTTTTATAATGCTAAAATTCATCCACAACATTTTAACAAATCTCTAATTCTACATTACCTACATTCCATAATTCATAACTTGCACAATATCTCAAAAGCCCAAAGATAATATATCATTTAAGACAAGCTTACACAGAATGCTTAAACGCCTATGGAATGGAATCACTGGGAAAACGTTTAATTTATTATTAATTTATGACATACATGCACTATATACACAATCATAACAGTCATCCTAAGTTTGGGTAACATTGCTGTGCAATGGTATAAAATTGATATAATTAATCTTAGGGTTGTGTTCCACATTCATCACTACCTTAAGCTGCGTATACACTCACCAAAAAACTCTTAGTTTGAAGCATCAACAAATGAATGCATTCGTTATGGTTGTTTTTGTTTGTTGCACATTAATAATCTATATGGAACGTCCATGTTAAATATTTGTTAATCCGCAAAACAAAACCATATATTTTTTCAAATTCAATAAATGGCAAAAACTTTATTTTGCTACATTTCTGAAGTTTCCCAATTAAACACTTTAACTGTTCTCAACAGTTGCCATTATGTTGGATAATCAGGAACTTTCCCACATGAGCTTAAAAATGAAAATTAAATAAATGGCAAGCTTTTAAAAACTTTTTACACCTTTTCCATTAGTGCCACTATTTCTATACGCCCTGGAGAATGTGGTCTCTCAACTTAAATAGCCCCCTGATGATAGGTGGGGGAGTTAATACCAACCCTCATATTAACTACCCAAGTTTTTTACAATTCTTTGGTTTTAACTTTATGCTATGGCTACAAATGTTAGAGACAAAATGAAATCCACACTTAAAAAGATCTTAGAGAGTCAGCATCTATAAATCAGAATATTGCGTGCTATTGAACAATAAATAAATCATTTTAAAACCCTTAGGAAGAAATTATATTACCAAAACCTTTATAGCTTATTTGGCGAAAAATTTATCGGGCTTTTTTCGCAAAACATTTTAACAAATAAATCAAAAATTTTTGCTGCGTTTTCATGGAAGAATTGTCAGCAAAATTGCTCGATACACTCTATTAAACTTTATTTTTCTATTATACAGGGTGTTATGTAATTAATGTTATATATTAAAATACTGAATACCTTTTGACATAAGGAATAAAGGAAAAATATTTAAAAAAACATTTTTCCAAAGATAAAGACAAAATATGCATTAGAAGTTTTTTTATATTTTTTGTGATACGCCACTGGTTACACACTTGTTTATCTCTGCACACCTGTATTTTGTGAGTACATAGATACCAACCAACAAAGTAGCTATGCGTTGCCAGATGTAAAAAATTGTTACTAAAAATAAAAAAGTTTTATGCCCTTAAAGCTCTCTATTTATTTACTGATCCAGCTATTAGCTTAAGCAATGATTAGAAAATTTAGTACCTTTGAAATTTGAAATCCATAACCACAAAATTAATTTTTTCATCAGTTTTTTTGTCTGTTTACTCAGATGAAATTGGGACCAGTTCACAGGTTAAACTTTAAACATTTAATTTGTGTAAATAAATCCAAAAGCACTTCCCTTAGTTAAGATATTTACAATTTGAAAACATAACCTAAAATTTAAAAGAAATACACTAGATTCTGTCATAAAAGTTGGCAGATTTTGTTTGAATTTACCTTCAGTACAAAAATGAAATAACCAACAATTAATAAAAACGCCAAATTGACAATTTGCATTGTTAATTTTGTCATTTTTGTAATTAAGCTAAATTTATACAATGTTTGTCAACTTTTGTTGTTACCAACCATAACATAATAAATCCACCAGATTAACCTAAAGTTCCTAGTCGATCAGTGGCGTACTTTTTGGTAGGATAAAGGTTATTATAAATTATTTTTAGACTTTGGAATTTAGAAAAAAAAGTTTCAGGTGCTTCTTTATGGACCCTAAGGAACAACCCATTTTAATATATAACATTAATTACATAACACCCTGTATACATTCATTAAATAAAAAAAATATTTGCACAATTTTCTTATAATAACATTTTTATTTATTTTTTTTCAGATGTTTACGACATCTTATAAGTCATCCGTATGACGTCAACACTTCAACCCTTAACCTAGAAAACATCGAAAACTTGGCAACGCAGCAATATGTTGAGGGAATCGGACTACGCGTACCAGAACACGTACCTGCGCAGAATATCGCCCCCCGGAAGCCCGGCTCTGACGAAAAAATGCTGCTGCTACGACAAAAAATCACCAGGGGACTCTGGTGCGGCCAAAGAGTCAATTTTTTGTTGCTGCTATACGTACCCCGGCAGCAGAAACACGTCTATATTGGCAACACTGGGTAAGTTTATAAAAAAATCGATTGGGTTTAAATCGGTGCCGTCGGCTGGCCACTCCGTAACGTAATGCTTCGTGTAATGTTTCAGGCGTGTGTCTTCTAGTGATAATCTACACCATTATAGGAGCCTTTACTTTCATGGCGATAGAGGGAAGCCTCTACCATGAGACCCACGCTGAGCCCTCAAAAATCGACCCTAAAATTAAAGAAAACAAGGCCATAATCGACATCAGAACGGAAACTGTGGATAGACTTTGGAGTATAACCGAAAATTTAAACATTTTGTATCGCGAGAATTGGACTAGGCTAGCTTCTGAAGAGGTTATGGTGTTCCAAGATGCACTCTTCAAAGCCTTTAAAAATAGTGACTCAGTGTACAGTGCCCGAACTGGTACCATGAGCACCGCTCATAAGGATCACAAGTGGAGCTTCAGTAGCAGTTTTTTGTATAGTTTAACCTTGATTACTACCATAGGTGAGTTACTGTTTCTACACTGTTTAAAATATCTGTGGTGTGAAGAGTAATCTTAAAATGGTGTCAAAATCCAACACCAAGTGGTGTTAACATAACACCATGAATTATGGTTAAAAATGTTTTATACAGCAAACAAAACGGTGTTTCACTTTACTAAATATGTTGTTTGTACAATAAGAGTTACTTCAACCTAAAGCACTCTGTTAAAACGATTAAAACAATTTGCCGTGCATTCCCGGTTGCATAGTGTGTACCGATCGCGGCAAAGGCGGTGTGGATCACGCGATGTTCTTAAATCTCGCCTCTGTTGACTTACATGAAGAGTATATGAGCTCAGGTAGTCCTTTGCTTTGGTGTGACACTACAAGTTGTTCGATACTAAAGAGACCTTAAATAGGTGGAAACAGCTGTCAATACTTGAAGTATTTTAAGTTGGTGGAACGCACTAAAAACATTATCTCTAGCGAGTTGAAGGTTCCATTTTCTGGAATAATACCACTGGTAATATACTAGCAATGCGTCAAGGAACTTCCTGTTTCCTTTTCTGTGTAGTATGATTTAATTTGACCGCAAACACATAATATTTAACACTGAAAAGGAGTTCAATTTACACCAGGTAAAATTTTGGTTTGTATCGATATAGACCATGTGTGGTGTTAATTTGGTGTTAAAATGGTCATGATTTTTTGGTACAAGAACCAAAAATACTTCTTCGGAAGATATTTCTCTCTTTTGAATGAAGAAGACTGCATCTCTTAATTGAAAAGCAGATTTTGTATTGTATTTGTTTTCAACTTCCTCTAAGAACTTTTTTCCTTAAGTAATAAATATTCTTTTATGCTAAAATATTGTTTCTGGCCGCTAATAATTTTTTATCAAGACAGTTAACTGCTTTAGTTTAAGGGCACCTTTATGTTTGATCCTTCTCTGTATCTAACCATCTCTATACCCCTTACGTTTTCAGTTAATTCCTGGACCACAAAGCTTCTTATCACGCATTAGCTTTCCCTATAAAGGGGAAGAGAGACCTTTGATGGAAAGTCGTCAGACAGACGCTTAAATTGGAGAAGGCGTTGATACGCTTAATGAGGTGTCGATCGCTGAAGCACCTTTGAAGCGGAAGCGCAGACCGTATTGCTTCCGGTTTCGATCTTTCCAATCTCAGGTGGTTTTAGGGACTAAAGTCTTGATTTTTTTGGATAACTTATTTATACCTCCACCATACGTATAAAAGCAACGAAGTTATAAGACGTTGACTGTGAAACAGCATTTATTATTAAAATAATCAATACCTAAAATTTATTTATAAACCAAACTAGATCGACGTTTTATATTCGAAAGGTTATTTGTAAAAAAAGAAATAGTAAAAATCCAATACGATCTACGTATGTAGGCTATTCGGGAAACTACCAAAATTAAATTTAAAATTCAATACGTTTCGGAATGCTCCCACATTTATCTTTCGCAACGTGTTGGGGCCTTTAAGTAATTCGTTTTAAATAAATAACTAAATCGTTCAATTTCCACAATCACCTAGTTGTTGGTATTAGAAAGTACAATATATTTCTTTATATAACAACTTTACATCAATTATCATATCATATTATTCATATACTTCTTTCTCGGATTCCTCATCCCTCTTCTGAATTCTGAAGGTAACTACTAATTCCTTGGTCCCACTTCTGAAATAGTTCGTTGCAAATATCATTAAGTGTGGTATCTCTTGTTTGTGAAGCATTTATAATTTTGTTGCCATTAGTTTTTTATGTTCCCTATCATGCACTGTATTTTAATCACTGTTATTCTGCAAGATGTCCTGTGACGAAGAAATCACTGTATTACTTACTCTCTAAAAATGAATTAGTCAAAAATGTCATAGCGAAAAAGCAGCCACTAATAACTCTCGTCAACAGCAGTTTGTATCCAGGACATTTAGCAGTCAATTCCTATAAAAATAAATTTTAATATCCGGTTACACCCTAAAATACAAGTAAAGTGAAGTTAACTTTTAAAGTATGGGTGAGAGTATAAGCGGGATGCCAAAATACAATTATAAGAGCCCTTGTAAATAATAATGTAATTAGAATGAAGTCAAGGACTAAAAGGTGTTCATTTTCTTGCCTTTTGTTTGATCCTGGATTTCGCGTTGAGAAATATTGAATAAATTAAGATGCCTGAAGATAGGTACACTGAAAAAAATAATTTCTTAAAATAAATAAAAGTCATATTTTAATTAATACCTAACACAGTAAAAAAAAAATCAACTCTAAGCAACACTAATTAGAGTTAATTTGTAGTGTAATTTTCCCCAAGTAAGCAAGTATGATTTAACACCATAGCACTGAGGATAAAGTAATTTTACACTGTATTAAAAAGTGTTAATTTACCTAAAATCGTGTACTTCTACACTTCCTGGGTAAAATCCCACTTTTGTTCAGTGTAAATTAACACTACTTTGGAAAAATTCTAATTTTAGAAAGGTACTTTTACTCTTTTAGTGCAAACTTCTAGTGTTAATTAACACTATTATTTGAGTAAAACCTATTGGTGGTAGTGAATAAAACGAAAAGGTAAATAAAGAGAAACATTTATTTGGAACAAAAATCTATGACAATTATCAAAATCGGTGCCTTTTAAAATATAATTTTATATTTGAGTCGTATGGCTGGCTTAAGCAAAATGGTTCCTTAAAACGTAAAAGTTTTAGATCAATGCAATGTTTTACTGGCTGTCAACTTGTAAGCAATGAATTATCTTGAGAATTCATCAGTAATCCATTTTTCTGTTATAAAAAATGGGTGATCCCATTGGTAGAGGGGCGTCAGGCGGCTGTATGTCGGGGATTTACCACACGTGTACAAATTTTCCATAATATTAATAAAAATGTAGGTATAGGTTAATATAACAACCATTACGCTTGAAAATAAAAGGTAAATGAAGTGTGTATTTATTTATATTATTAATGTTACAAGTACCCGACCTACTGCCGTAAATTATTGATATATAATATAGGTCGGGTATGGACATCCTTTTAACATATTGGTATTTATTGAGTATTAAGGCTTAAAGAAAAAGGAAGTATAATACTTACCAAAAAATAAGAATGTCCCCTTATGGATTCACCGTAATTAAAATCTAACTGAACAAAAATGCCACACTTCCACAACGCGGTATCTCCGGATATGCACTGCGTAGGTAGATAGGTACCAACCAAACATTTTAAAACGCATTTTGGTTATTACCAGTTTTTTTCAGTCTATTTTGCCACTATTGGTGTAATTTAACTTTAATTGTGATACAATGTGCACTAGTAGTGTAAAGAAATAGAGCTCTTAGTAACATCAAAACAAACAAAGAAATTGGCATGCACTGTAGTGTACATTTTGTCACTATTTAACACATTAAGGGGTAATAAACACTTGCATTAAGTTTTTCTACCCTTTTGATTTATTTTAATAATAAATAGTGTGAATGTACCAATGAATAATGTTCATATTCTTTAAATGTGTTTAATAAAGTTAATAAGCACTAAATGCTACTAGTGTATTTTGTAGTGTAACTTTTACACTTTCATTTTCATATTCAAATTTTTTGGTTTTTTTGTTTAAAATATTAAAATATCCAAGTTTAAAAAAACTCCCTGTCTAAGCCTTAGTATAGCAGTTCACTACAGAAGTAATGAATTGTTTTCTATAACAAAAAAGGACAAGTTTGTCCATACAAAAAGATTTATTAATCGTTACTACTAAATCATAAAACGTACATAGTCCCAACACTATAGTGTCCTATGTTTTTGTTCCTGTGACATTAAAATTATTACTTGGGAAACAATGTCCATTGTTTTAACTTATTGACGTCACTACTGCAGATGCTAAATGATGACTTTTATTTTTTACTTTTTAAATTGTAAAGCCCCTTTGTCGAAAAAACTGTAATCTATCAAGGTGTGACAATTTAAAATGCTTTATTAAAGTTTTATTTACCATACATAACATACAAGGTGTTAAGAAAATGACGGATAAACTATTGTTTAATCAAAAAACTATACTGAGATATTACACTTCACGGTGGATAGGTTTTTAAATGGCAAATTAATGAACTTAAACTTTTGAATTATAAAACAGCAACACTCTCATCTGCATATAAATTCTAACTGACCTTCAGGAATCACATGCGTCTATAATGTTTTAAACAAAGGTTTTTGCTTATTTAAAATGATTAAAGCGCCATCCGTTGCATACAATTTAAAGCAAAAACAGATTCACGGAGGATAGAATCATTTTTTGTAAATTTAAAAAAATTAGTACTATTTACATTAACGTGGCATTTTTAGCACCTTGAGTAAATTTTCGCACACAACATAAAACACTTTAAATTAAAGGTAAATAAAAACTGTACGAAAATTGCTTCAATTAAAAAAGCCCGGCGTTAAATTTGCAAAGGACACAAACGGACAATAAAATGGTTTACGTGAAAATTGTCCGATAATAAAAAAAAATTACGCTGAACCGGGGTAAAATGTTTTTTAATGAGCTTTGTGGTTTTTTTAAGTGCTTTAATAGAGCTCTTAGAGCTGCACAATTAAATGATACTTTGTATAAATTGCGATGGTAATTTCAAAAAAAGTTTTATAAATTTTTTAAAAAAATAAAATAAGACATTTATTGTTTGATATCAACATTTTTATTACAAATTTTAATTAATACCTTACCTTCAAAAACATTAAACAAATTAATTAATTTCATTTATTTAAAAAGAGTTTTAATGATTCCAACTCCACTGTGAAAGTACATACAACACGCCAGGTTGGTACCTATCTATCTAAGCAGTGCATATCCGGAGATACCACGTTGTGGAAGTGTGGCATTTTTGTTCAGTTAGATTTTAATTACGGTGAATCCTTATTTTTTGGTAAGTATTATACTTCCTTTTTCTTTAAGCCTTAATAATCAATAAATACCAATATGTTAAAAGGATGTCGATACCCGACCTATATTATA